TCTAGTAAAATCTGAATTTCAGATAAGTGAGGAATTTTTTAAGGTATGTCCCATTTAATATTTGGGGACATACTTGCATAGGAAATATTGGAACTCTAGTCCAAGATCAAGAGAAATGGGAACATTTTCAAAGTGTAGAGTAAGGTGTTACGTCCTGGGGATGGTAGTGGCTCTGGAACCCGAGGAATAATGATGGCCAGGGAGAAGTTCCCAGTTGCAGAGGGTAAAGGGACAGGGACTTTAAGATATAGTGCTGCCCCACTCCCCCCACTCACCCCCCCAAGCCTTTAGGGAAACTTTCTTCCACGGTCTTTCGTGGGAATGAAGGGTTTGGCCCCTGAGGTCAGGGTGGTGGCAGCACCTTCTTGATGTCTCCTCAGTTTTGGAGCTGAGAGTGCCAGAGGAGATAGAAACAGGCTGCTGGGCACACTGGCTTAGGATTGGCTATGAGAGAGACCTCTTCCTCAAATGTACCCAAGAAGGTGCAACTTTAAAGGGTAAAATGCCTCGCAGGGTTATACATGGAAACAGGAAACGAGCAGCCGGAGAACAAGCATTTCCTCAAACAGCCTTTCTGGGTACCCATAATCATCACTACCTTATAGTATTTGCTCTTTCTCATGAACGCTAGGAATATGTTCTCATAAGAGAACAAGGATACTGCCACATCTCTTATTAGACCCACAGTATATTTACTTACAATGCTAACTTATTGACTATTAGGAAGCTTTGCATTAATCGCCTTTTGTACAATTTAAAATTTCAGCGGTTAATAATTGAAGGAAATTGACATATGAAAAATTCCCAATTTCTGGAAATAGATGTCATAGATACTCAAACAGACCATTTCCCCCTAAGGTGAAATGGCATTTTTATTCAGCTTCTCTTTCCACTGATCAGTGTGTTCTGTGCTCCCTCTAGTGAGAAAGATGCTACTTACAGAGGATTGTGTCAAATAATCTTTGGGAAATTGCTTCCTTTCTTATTAGAGAGCTAATTTTTTTTATTTTCTCTTGTTATAAGTAATGGATATATTTTAATTTTTAAAGCAGTCTATGTCAAACGTTCTCAGAAGACAACATTTTGGGAAGTCATGTTTATACGCTCTTTGGGAATTATAAAATATACATTGTGAAAATGTATCCATTAAAGTATGCGATTAATGCAAAATGAATTGTGCTTTCATTTTTTTCAGCATCTATTTTTTTTAGCACTTACTACGATAAGAGCCTTGTTCTGCAACCAGAGGGTCACAACATACTGGGTCCTGCTCCCAATGGTCTTGTGCTATTAACCAAATTAGCCAGTAGGTTTACTTATTGAAAAATTTTTGATTGTGGTAAGAACACTTAACATGAGATCCACCCTCTTAAAAAATTTCTAAGTGTACAGTACAGCATTGTTCATTATAGCACAATGTTGTACAGCAGATCTCCAGAAAAAATTTTTATTTTGTTTAACTGAAGTTTTATACCTGTTGTATAACTGAAATTTTATAACTTGCCAACACCTATTCTTGTTTTGAAATTGTGTTCATTTCAACAGGTGTGAAGTGATATTTCATCACGGTTTTCATTTGCATTGCCCTGATGATTAGTGGTGTTGAGCATCTTTTAGTTTTCATTTGCATTTCCCTGATGATTAGTGGTGTTGAGCATCTTTCATATACCTGAATAACATACATCAATTCAAGCTACTTAAGAAAGGAAAGAGAGAGAGAGAGAGAGAGAGAGAGAGAGAGAGAGAAAGGTATAAAAATACAGGGTATTTTATCTACTCATTCTTACTTTATCTTTTACATCTATCTCATTCTTGCTTTATCTTTTACTCAAGGTCTTCACTATCTTTATCTATGACTCCAGGAAAAATGAGAACACACAAAATTCTAAGGCTATAACTATCAAAGATCTATAAAACCTCAAATTTCTAGTACCCAAATTATTGCCATTAGCCTTGATGCAGTAAGATCAATCTCTTCTTATAATTACAAGTTGTCTCTTTGTGAATTAAAATCAGGTTGCCTCATGCATTTGGATGTTATTGCCAATAGCAGATTCTAATTTATTACAAGCTGATATGACAGAATGCTACAGGAGATTCATATGATGCCTGCAGCTTTTTCACCAGCAAGCTGCATTTCTAAAACACCTACCTAAGTAGACTCTACATATTCTGAAACCTGGATATGGAGTTTTCCAAAGGAGGTATTAGAGAAAAAACTGCCTTCAAGCCTCAATGGAATACATCTCACCTGGTGATGTTAACCATCCGCACTCTACTAAAACTCCGGGATGTTGATCTCAACTTAAAAGACATATACTTTCTTCTGACTTTAAATTTAGGATTCTTAGGAATTATCCAGAAGCTTCTGACTATAGAAATTTTCCACCCAAGATGATGGAACACATTGTTGACTACAGAAAAAGCAGCTTCCACCCAAGACAATGGAAGATTAATTTTCTTATTCTTCATTACCTATTTGCTTTTTCTTTACTAGTAATCGTTATTGTTCTATTTTGGTAGCCTTTATTAAACTAACAAAAAGACTTCTCAATGATATCCTTCATCTTCATCCTATTATGTGGATTCTGTATGGCCTTTGACCACTTAAGAAAAAACAAAACTTTATGAAGTGTTTTTCTCAAGTAATAGGTGTCATGTCATCAGACTAATTTAGTAACTATTCCTTCAAGCAGTTCAAAAGGTATATTATCGTTTATAGGACCTTCCATAACTTAAATTTCACTCACATCATTAATTCTAACTTCTATTTAGTCTTATAAAAATTAAGCCATGATCTTATATTAGCAAAATATTTTTGCTAAAGTTATTACCAGCAAAACCTGTGAGAAGTAATATTAAGATCTCCCTGAAATAATTAATTTAGTCTCTTCAGAGACACACCAATCTATTTAACTTCATTCAAGGCATTTTCTTAACTTGACCGACAAACATTTGGCCTGCTCCAGTTGAATTTGTTCTTGATATAATGTACCTACTAGTATAGTACTATGTATGTGAAATATAACTTTCTGCCACATGCTAATTTAACTTGTGTTTTCAGAAAAATTGTTAGAAATTTTTAGAAATTGAAAAGTACTAGGAATTATATTTTCCTGAAATAATGCTCAGAAACCTGTAAAAATAGGCAAGTGTAGGCAACGTGGAAAATTTTCCTGTAAGGAAAACTCCCTTCA